CTCGCCGCCCTCGCCGCCCAGGCCCCGCTCACGCACGCTCACATTCACGCTGGCGCGCTCGTTCATTCACACAAGCACCGGGGAGTCGTCGCCAGATGCAGCCGCGTCCTCGACCGCAGCGTCAACAACATCGGCAACCTCCTCGAGAGCAGCCGCCGCGTCCTCGACCGCAGCGTCAACAACATCGGCGGCCTCCTCGAGAGAAGCCGCCGCGTCCTCGACCGCCTCCGTGGCCTCGGCGATGGCCGCGTCTGCCTCGACCTGTGCTTCGACCGCCGCCTCCGCTGCATCCTTCATGTCGACGTCCTCTGCTTGGGCCGCAGGGGTCGAGGCCGGAGCCGAGGCCGCCTCGTGCGTCACGATGCTCACCACGCCGGCGTCCTCGTCCACGACAATCTCGACATGCTTATGGCTCTGGTCAATGTCCACGACGAGCCGGTCCATCTCGTGCACTCGCACGTGGCGCGCCTTTCCACCGCGCAGCCGCGACTCGATCAACAGCTGCCGCCGTCCGGTGTTGCCTGCCGCAGAGCCTTGCGATGAAGACCCGGCATTCACTCGCGGCGTCGGGCCCTCGAACATTGGCGCAGACGCAGTGCCAAAGCCCGTTTGCGTGCGCGCCAAATGCTCCGCATACCGCAGCTCGTACTCGTGCTGACGACGCAGATACTCTTCCTGCTGCCGCATGTACTCTTCCTGCCGGCGCAGCTGCTCCGCCTCGTAGTGCTGCTGCTGCTGCGCCTGCGCGCGTGCCTGCTGCTCCATCGCGAGCTTCTGATGCTGCTCCCTCATGCGCGCCTGGTGCTCTTGCATGCGCGCCTGCGTCTCGTGGTCGCCGTGCTGCGAGCCGTGAAGTCCGCTGTGGATGGCGTCGCGCATGCGGTGCGCCTCGCGCCGCAGGGCCTCGGCCTCGCGGTGCAGCTCGTCCCGGCCGCTGTGCAGCGACCGATGCACGCTGTCGCGGATCCGGTGCGCTTCGTGACGCAGCTTGTCCGCCTCGCGCCGGATCCGCTCCGACTCGCACGCCGACGACGCCGCTGCGCTGCGTGCCGCGCGCTGCGCGCTGCTCGCGCCGCTCGTGGCCGCCTCGCTCGCGGCCGCCGCAGCGCCCATGGCGCTCGTGAACGCAAGCTGGATCGCATCAGCCGCTATCCGCAGCGCGCTCGACACGCTGTCCACTGTGATGTCCGTCACTCCGTCGACGATGTCTTGGATCGAACTTCCTCGCCGCGGTGTCTGCGGAGCGGCATGCGGCGGTGGCGGCGGCATCGATCCCATGGGCGGAACACTTGGAATATGAGATGCGAAAGGAGGAGGCGGCGGCGGCGGCGGCGGCATGCCATCAAAGACAGGCGGCGCAGGGTAGAGCCCCGCCTGCTGCGTTGCGGGCGACGTCGAAGGCTGTCCGTGGTGCGAGTGGACCGTGGTGCCGTTCGGACCGGCCGTAAATGCGATTCTGACCATGTTGGCTGTTGCTGTTTGCTGAACTACAATGAGACCCTGGCCTCGCTGCCCGCAGCCGGCCCCGCCCGCTCTTTATACTCGCCGCGGCCGCCGCCCGCCACCATGCAATGCCCGCCCGCCAGCACCTCCAGCGTCATTGTTGTCGTGGCGGGCGCTGATTGGCCGCGGCCGGCACCCAGACCAGGACCGCCGTGCTGCCGGCCCAGGCCAGGAGACAGCCCGTCGCCGGGATGCACTCGGGCTCTGCGCCTCGCAGGAGCATTTGCGGGGCCGCATCCTTCCCGCGCGGCCCGCACGCAGGCGCACGAGGCAACCACGGGGGGTCGGCCTGCTCGACTTGGACCAAAGACACTCGACTTTGAAAAAAAGCGATGCCCTGGCGAGAAGCAAAACCCTCAAGAGATCGATTCCAGTGGGGGTCGAACCCACGACCTACTGATTAGAAGTCAGTCGCGCTATCCACTGCGCTATGGAACCTACATCGATTTTTTTCAAACCGCCAATATGATCCTTCGTCAATTTAGTTGCGCAAAATGCGCAACTATGCTGTTGAAACCGTTATAGAGACGACCGCAGGCCTCATCGACATGCGTGCGGCTGTGTTTCCTGTATTTCGATGGTCCGTGTACCGGCTCTAAACTTCTGAACGTCTTCTAGTCGCTCATAAAGCAGTTGCTTAGCTTACCTCACCAATTGGCTCATGTAACGGAGATGACAGGAGACAAGGAGGTTGGGAAGCACACAAAGAAAATGGTGTATTTGTGCCACGAAGGAAAGATGGAATAAATCGGAGTACAACAAGACAACTGTGACAGCTCATTGACTGGCAGCCCAAGAAACACCTGACCTCTGCCATGGATGTGTCAGGGGGCACTTTCCTTTATTTTATCATTTGGAAATTTTCCAGCTTTTCCCTGGCGGCCATAATACATCATTTTGAGCCCCACCCCTGTCATGGATGTGCATCTTTCATTTCGTGTTTGTGTGGGTCTGTCTCTCAGTTTTGGCATTTTCGCATTCTTTCCTTGCTGGCTTC